GAAATGTGGTTTGACCTGCCTGCCAAAATGCGGTCGCTATGGCAATGCCAAACGACATAGAAAAACAGTTTACACGAACGTAAAAAATTTCCACAAGGGATGAATGAGCAACAGCTAAAGATTTCAGTAACACAAAGTAAATCCCTTTCGTGAATTCGGGAAAAAAAAGGAAAAACAATAACAACATCAACAACGACAAAAACAAAGCAAAACAAAAACTCCCGGTATGGCATTCATTGTCCTTTCCCTTAGACGCCGGAAAGTTAATTTTTAAAGAAATGATACAGTTCGGCTTTTGTTGGAAACAAAGGGGTTTCTTCGGCAATACATAATGTTATTATTAGATATAAGACTGAACAAAGGTGATTACGGTAGTGTTGGTGATAATGATGGTTAAATGAGGAGATAGAATAGGGTGCCAAATTTTTGAAATATAGAAAAGAAAGCTTAAAATATCGCAGCGGCTGGGCGGCTGGTCAGTTGGCCATTTGCAAAGCGCGAAGGGGATGAATTCGAAAGCAGCGAACACAATCTCCATCTAGTGGCAGGAAGGAGGATTTGAGCCCGGGACCTCTGGATCACAACTCCAGCGCCCTAATCACTAGGCCACGCCACCTCCTCGCATCGGAACAAAAAGTCTCAGTTTTGTACTGTACCCAACTGATTCAGCCCCTGAGCCAGTACGTGTAATGGACACTCAACATTTAGAAAGAAAGGAAGCAGTAGTCATACCCCACCAAAAGTTAGGACCCAGTGTAGAAATGCGTTAACATTTCGTGGCTTATTTGAAAGGGTTGCATTGTTTCTTAATTTAGCGGAAATGACTCCGAAGGACTTGAAGTCTTTTACGTACTTCACGCTAATTCCCAATCAATACTTAATATATGCAGTGGAATTAGGTAGCTGTTGTTACAGTTGGTTAGTGTTTAATTCGGAAAAGTAATGTTCAGAATGGTCAAGTCAAGATATTTGTTACCTTCTACAGTCAGTTTCACTGCAGTAAATGCCTTCAAAACCTCCGCTGATGACGCCATACAAGTATATATTCCAGAGTCTTCCTTTCTCAGGTTCCAGAAGTGAAGCGTTCCATCCACACTGACTTTTGATCTTCCGAACGGTAGCTCGACATTTTGTTTAGTCCACGTGACCTTCGGCTGGGGGTCCCCGGTGGCCTCACAAGGGACTGTTATATTATGATTTGCGAAGACCTTTAGCAGCGGTGGCGGAGTGACTGTAAACTGTGGTAGTTCGACAACATTGAGTTGAGTAACGGCAGAGATCTGTCCTAAGATATTTGACGCTTTGCACTTGTAAAAACCGGAATCTAGTTTTTGAGCATTCATTATTGACAGTTGTCCATCTTTTGAAACAGCTCTGGTTCGCGTCATCTCACCGAGTACTTTAGTCCACGTGATCACTGCAGGAGGAAAGCCAGTCACGTGACATTCAGGTAAGGTGACCTTTTTGTCCTTTTCAACGTACGATGGGCCGAGAGATAGAGATATCTTCGGCTTACCTGTAATAAAAAAAAATAGAAATACATAATTAATTTTACAATTGTTTTTTTTTCATTTTGTCTAAAAAATTATCAGTAGTTCATATCACTCAAGTGCCCTAGATTATTTTGTTTCTTTTAGTTAAATATTTGCGAGATTCCATACTGAAAAAAATCATCACAGATCGATGGCGCATCCCGGGCTCATTTCTAACATGTTTTCTCGTAGGTACGGTGAAGCAGACATCAGGAAGCTGGTAAGCCTCTTCGAAGACGAAAAAGCGGTCCCGAGTAAGACATTTGGATTTCTTTAACCTACACACTATTTGCGCCAAGAAAAGTTTGTCTTTGTATGTTTCTAGCATATCTTCTTTCAAGAAAGTTATGGTTAGGAAAGAGATAAAGTATATAATTTTGTAACCTACTTTGTACGATGAGAGTTGCAACTTTTTCATCATTCCCCAGAAGATTTCTCGCCATGCATCTGTATTTCCCAGCATCCTCTAGCCGAACATCTTTTATCCGCAGCAGGCCATCTGACGTCACTTTGGCCCTGTCGCTAGGTAACGATCCACTCATTTTGGTCCAAGTTAAATTCGCTGTCGGATTCCCAGATACCGAGCAAGAGAAAACAGCAGTGCTGCTTTCGTTGACAGTCAGTTGCGAGGCCGGAGAAATGGTCACTTTTGGTGCAGAAATAGATTCTCCGGGTTCACCTTTAATCCCTGGGATACCCGATGGTCCGATATCTCCTTTAATTCCTTTTTCTCCTCTAATCCCCGGTGGTCCCATAATTCCTTGTTTTCCACTTTTACCAGGCGGTCCCATAATTCCTTGGGAACCTTTCCTACCCCTCCTCCCTTCTTTGCCTTTGATGCCTTGGGTTCCAGCTCTCCCCGGAGGTCCCGGCCGTCCACGTGGGCAGACGTTGAAGTTTCCACGTTTTTGGCAAATCTTTAAACTTGTGATAACTATATCTTCCAGGGCTTCTTTTATGAAACCTGAGTCATTAGAAGAAGTGGAACTGGAAATAACTCGTTTGAATCTTAGCAGTTTAGATTCACTGTTTGTGGGAGCTACAAGGTAAAATAAAAAGTGAGTGAAAAGGATCCAATAATTAACCTGACTTCGAAGTCAAAACCTGAAAACCAGATACTTAAATTTATGGAAATCTGATTATAAAGATCCAATTTTATTAAAAATTACTATACAAGTGCACTGTCTAGCTGTTCACAGTCCCCTATTTTTCCGTGCGGTCGGAGATGTCGAATGTTGAGTTAGACGGGTGGCCATCTTGATCTCTTGATTCGAGCGAAACTGGGGAGAGTATAAAATGCCCCTGGCCGGGAAGAGGCGGTGGGTTAAATAGCGTGGGAGTGGAAGGGTTCTTTTTTTGTTTTTTTTGTTTTTTTCACCCCGCCGTGCTCTCCACCACCCCCTCCAACGGGCATTGCATACTCTCCCCGGTTTCGCTCGGATCAAGAGATCAAGATGGCGGTCCGTGGAACTCAACGATGGGCATCTGCGATCTCACGGAAAAATAGGGGACTGTGAACAGTCTGTGTACTATCCCGCAAAAAAAAAAAATCGTTATCTTATACGATAAGTCCTTTATTGACCATAAAAAGCGGGAGGTCAAGATTGCTGAATATTGGCCTCGTTCTTTTTACATCAACGCCTACATAAAATACCTTGGTCAATGTCCAGCCGTCTTGATCTCACGATTGGTAAATAAACCATATGTCACGCAGTTTTAAAAGAACCTAACGACTGGTCGTTTCCTCGAAGAAGACCTATATTTTTGCCTTTCGTAAAATGACATGTTTTATTTTAAAATACAAGGGTATAAGGCATTTATATCTAATTCGATTGTTACACGTTATTTTGAACAAACGAAGCAAGGAATTGGAATCAAAGAATTCAAAAAAAATGGCGCGCCGTAGAATTTTTCTCGCTCTATATAACCTCCTTATAACACAGAAGAAAGAAAAAAACAAGTGATATGAAAGAACGGCTAACGCCAAACGCCAGGAGCCTAGGGATTCTATTACTACGAATTATAGTGCGCAAGACATCTTACCTTCATTATTCGAAGCCTTTCCCATTTCGTCATTGTCCTCTTTCAGCTTTGGAATGACTTCCTCGACAGCCATCAACCTTTGATTGTAATCACCAAACTTTAACTCGTTCCTGATGAATCCAGCGGAGTAAAGAAGCAAACAGAACACAGACAACACTGTACCAGGGCTCACTGATAAACTACGATCTTTGGAAGACATTCTTTAGGCTCGCTACTGACCAAGAGCTCGATTCGTTGTGACTCGATTCAATAAGCTTGAAATCCTATACTAAGAGTATACTAAGACGCAACATGAAAGGAATCAGAAATCCGGGATGAGAAATTTCTTCCAGTCTGGTATGCAAAAGCTATTTTAGGGTATCATATCATATTAGGTTTCGATGGGCTGAGGTCGAGGAGTATTAGATGATGAGTCCTGTTGTAGGTCAGTGACTGCGGTGGGGATATTACATGTAACAGATTTTAAATACTTTCAGGGTTTCCTCTACAATTATGTTAAAAAAAGGTCCATGTCAATATTCTCGAGTTGTTCGAGAATCAGTCTAAGAGAACGACATTAGTCTCCGGCTCATGGTAATCTCTTGAAACTTGCGATATTTTAAATCATCCACACATCAATGGAAAAAAAAAGGAGAAGATAAAAGAGATCTCAACTCCACCGAGGAGCTCTAAAAGAAACGTTAATACAACGCTATTTATGGATATCTAATTTGCAAAATTACGTAAAAGCAGTGTTATGTAAAATGGCCATCTATTTCTTGTGAATCAGGCTGTTGCTAGTAGTCTTGAACCGAGATTTTCCAGAATAATTTTCCCTGAAATGAGAAATCATCTTGACAAGCTTAATTTGACGTAAAACGTTATTTTAATCATGCCTACTATAATTACCGACTTCTTTTATTAGTTGACAAACAATTCATCACCCGGCTGCTGGGTGAGAGCCAATCTATTTCGATCTCTTTAACTGGAGGTGCGCGAGTGGAGAAAATGTCGAATAAGGTTGTGTTTTGGACATAAAGTTTCAGCAAAATCTCTTCAGTCCGGAAGTTCGTGATAAAAAAATCATTTGCCTGTTTTCGTGTAATGCCTATTCTATTTTCCATGAATTATGAAATGATCTTTTTTCTTGGTGAAACGTGTTCACGACCCCGTCCGCTTTGCCACCATGCAAAGACACTACATCTTCAAAATCTTCAACTGAAGCCTTCACCATTTCCCCATATCGCGATTTCAACGGAGGAATGACTTCTTCGACGGCTGTCCACTTTTTATGGTATTCTGGCATTGAACTCGTTTCTAATGAATCCAGCGGAGTAAAAAAGCAAACAAACCACAGACAACACTGTACGTGGCTTAGTGAAACGTTAGGATCTTTCAGAGACCATTAGCAAGCTGTTGAAGGTGACTCGTAATGACACATTTACAATCGCACACTATCAAACGGATGATAATTCTCAACTATAACAACACCCAACATAAACATTTCAGTCTGGTACACAATTCAGGGTATCAGCTTATCAGCAAGGTTATGGGAGGTGGAGTAGAAGGGACGTAGGATAATTCTGCGATGGAACGGTCGGTGAGTCTTCGGATTCGTTGAGGAACGGTCATTTTGGACCGGTCGAGGGTGGATATGTCTTGGGATCTACATCTCAGATCAGGAATGTTATTATCTATTACATGAAGCAAGAAAGGTAAATTTGGTTTGACAACTGACAAGTGATGTATACCTCGTTCCGTTTATGGCATTCATCAATGACGTATATACTGCTAACGCGATGTAATATTTCTCAACGGGTTCTGTAAATCAGCGATAGACTAGCAAATTCACACAATAGCTTTTTCGGAAATTGAACGAAATTTAGCTTTAATTGAACAGTCCCGTTTCTCCTATTTACAAAAGCCCGAAAGCATTTTAGATCTGCTGGGAACGTGGAGGTGGGAGTAGGGGTGGGGGGTATCAACTTTTAAGATGTATAACTTCTAAACAATTGGAGCTATAACCAACCAAATTAAATACAATATACCGTAATAACTTGATTTTCTGATGTGATTTTTATTTTTGCACTGTCAATAACCAAGGTTACCACTTTGCAAATTGAATGGGTACAGTGTGATAATCATATCTATTATGATACAGTTTTATACAGAAGTTATTTCATTTTTAACCATTTTTCACCATTACACAACCTGACAACACAATGTAGTCGAACCTCTTTTAAGCGGCCACTTATTAAGCGGCCAATTGCAAAGTCCCGAAATCATTGTCAGTAAAATACTGTAAATAAAACCTTTATTAACTGGCCACCTCTATTTAAGCGGCCGAGGCCACCAGTTGGTCTCCTTGATGAGGGTTTTCCTATTGTTTTTATTCCTATTAAACGGCCACCCAAAATTGAATACCCTTAGTGTGGCTCATGGCTTTGTTTTGGCAAAGGCGATGATAAATAAGAATCCTAAAAAGAAATTAAAGGGACGCCTGATTAAATTATTCAAACACATGTTTATCATGACTGTCTTGAAGTAATTATATGTTTACTTAGCAGTTGACCCGATGTCAAAAAAAAAATATATTCAAGGTACACCAACCACTATTAATTTAAGAGCCAACCTCCCATTTCCCCGAGGGTGGCTGCTTAATAGGGGCTCACTAACGGCGGGCTCGTCCAGAAATTGCTAAAAGCTTCTTTTGTTATAATGACTCAACTCTATCAGTCTGTCAGTCTGTCAGTCCGTCGGTCGGTCGGCCTGTCGGTCTCTCGGTCTCTCGGTCTCTCTCTCTGTCGGTCTGTCAGTCTGTGTGTTTGTCTCTATGTCGGTCTGTCGGTCTGTCGGTCTGTCTTTGTCTGTCTGTCAGTCCATTTCATTCGGTCGGTCGGTCTCTGTCACGTGATGTGTTTTTCTGCAGTATTATTAATCTGTAGATCTGTCAGCAATATTACTCCCATTTTACTGATCAATGTTAAACAAAAGAGGCGTTATCCTACGCTATCACAAATACTTCGACTGCCAGGCATGGCCAATTTTGGTATGTAATGGGATAAACTCGTATGAATCTTCCTTTGTCGGAATGGCTCAGTGAATGCTGTACAATACCAGTGCGAGTGATTTGGAACACCTGCAAAATGAAGAAGAAAGAGAATGCAAGGGAGAAATAACATGTATAAAACGACAAGTGACAATTCAGAACAATTTTCATTTGACAAGGAACAACAGCAACGGCTACAAGCAATGAATAAGTGCTCAGCAGTCACATAAACAACATCTGGTCTGCGCTACAGGCAGAGAGCTACATTAACCCACTCTTGTAAAAGCGCGTTCTTGGTACAAGAGGGAGGGGGATGGAGTGGATAGAATCTAGAATCCGCAGAGTTTTAATTTCGTAATAATAAGAAAGCGTCGTCAGCTTCCTCAATCAGATGAGATTTTCAACAATTACTGGATGAGGTTTTTGTGATATCCAGAAAAATCAAGGTCGAGATAGGGGTTATCAGAAGGCCGATAACCATTACCGAGACCTTGACTATTCTGGATATCACAAAAACCGAATCTAATAATTGTTTTATTATACATTGAACGAAAAAAATGGTCACGACATTCATGTTTTGGCTTCTTCACTGACGACAAGCAACACAAAACGCGAGAACTTGACATGATTACCCTTAGAAATCATACATCGCGGTCATACATGGCATGATTACTCGTGACCTTGAGTGTCCTTGACATGATCATTGTATAATCTGCAACTATATGACGTCACAGGCACTGATTTCGAAAATTCACTGTACGCTTTCGGCAAAATGAGAAAAGAGATAGTGAGTTCAATGAATAATAATTCTAATAATCAGGCTCCTGTGATAATGAAATCTACGAAGACGCTACTTTTAAACTGCTGTTCAAGAGAACGTGACAGGAAAAAAAAATTGGAGTTGATCTATCGCTTCGTTAGGTAAATTGCCATTGCTATGGCAAGGTCAAACGACGCTAAGGAATAATTGTATTACTGCGGGAAAGGTAAAGGGGAAGGGCGAATGAACAGCTAGTGAAAAAAAAAAGTCAGCATGACAGAGGAAATATCTTTGCAAAATTTGGGGAAAAAAAAGGACATCTCTTCTTTCTCTCCCCTTCTTTAATTAATTACGCGAACTTGAAGGTAAGTTGAACTGTCATTTAAGTTGCACTATGGAAGGTAACAATGAAACTCCCAGCACATTTTGTTCTTGCCACATTTTGACGTATCTGTGATCTATTTAACATTTTTAGCATAACTCTGCCTAAATTTCTTTCAAATAACGATTTCTAATCATTTCTCAACGCAGTATTAAACTTCATGCTTTAGCAAAAGCGTGCGGATTGAAGCGTTATGTGAAACTTGCAGTTGTGTAAGCGTGCTCATCAGCTCTTTAAAACACTTTGAGAAAGTACGATCGCTGAGAAAAAAAAAACAAAAACAAAAACAAAACAAAACAAAAAAGAAAGAAAACACAACAAAACATTAATTTGTTAGACATTCTAGTTTTAATATACCCAATTCATTTACTTACTTTTTCAACATTGTTTTCCTTGTAGAAATTCCAAGTTACTCCATCTGTAGAAAGCTTTAATTTGAAGCTTTTGACCCAGAGTTCATTTCTTGGTCCTTGCGTTGCCACTGCACATACAGAATAGACTGCACCCATATCAACTTGAAGATAGTCTCCTTTGATTTGATTCGCCTTTGTACACCACACTCCATTACTTCTTTTCTCGTTCAGACGACCATAGTGGGGAAGATCAACTGAGTGGGTTGTGCTCGCGGTCATTCTAGCATCTGGTATTATGTTTCTATCCGCTACACCTACCGCCTTACATACTGAAGAATAAGCGGAGTACAACTGCAGTCAATTTTCACGATTATGGGTATTATCGCAGCACAGATTCTCCAGTGTTCCTTTTCCTTGCTACAAGATATGCCTGAAGCACTGTTCACAGCTGATCCCAAGTATAAGGTAAGCGTTATTGAATTCTAAAATGGTCTTAGACGGGATACTACAGTAATCAAGTTTAATTTGTTCCGCTGTTGACAGGCTTATCGTAAGCTTGTTTAAGTCTGGTAACAAAAACATCTGTGTTTTCATCAGAAAGGAACTTCGCCGAGGATATCGAGGAAAGAGGATGCCAAAAGTACGGACATACAAAATGAGACACCTTTTTTTGATTTCATCATAACTTTGGAAAAGTCAATTAATAGCACAGTATTAAAGAAGGAAAGGTTTCACAATCTCTCAATGGAGGCTCATGTGGGAAATATCATAAATGTCATTTGCATTTGAAACGACTGCCAGTATTAGCCTCAACTGCAAGCTAGTTCCACTCCTATTCCGAGAATATGAATATGGCCTATTCTTTTAACACATATAGGAACGATTAAACCCCCGTTCAATTTTTTTTTCAGTTTTTTTTTTCCTTTTTTTTTTTTGCTTCCTTGTTTGAATGGTTAGTTGGTTGTTGTTGTTGTTGTTGCTGTTTTGTTTAATGCTGCTACGAGTGTGACAAGCAGTCAATAAATTAAAATAACTCAGTCCCATAAGTGGAAAAAATCGTAAGCCACACATGTTTCAAGCACCAAGTATTTCAAACTTATTTGTCAAAACCACGTCAGAAAAGGACCAAACGTGGTCCAAAATAAATGAAGATCGTTCCCATATTAATTTCATATGAAGTCGTAAAGCTTGGCAACTGTTTACTAAACTGACATTTAATTTGACATGGAATTGAACGTCATGCACAAAGTCAGTGCGTGCACTTTCCATTCCCACCCACCCGGCCACTCCCTGGCCCACATAGGATTATGTGGTTCAGCAGTAAGAACATTTTTGTGCCTAACTAAAAAAGTCAGTTGGGGATTAAAAAAAACAACAACAACAACCAAAAAAAAAACCTCTTCGCCTCGGGAAACAGTAATGGTGACGGGAAAAAAGGAAAATACATAAAAACATAAAGTTCATTCTTTCCCTAGGGGTCAGTCATTAGGTGCTTATTGTCCTCTGCAGTTCAAAGAAGAACCAAATATGAAAAGCTTACCTCTTTTGACAATAAGCTTCATTATAGAAATCGCTTGTTTTGTAACCACTTGATTTGACGAGGCCCTGCAAGTATATGTGCCAGAATCTTCCTGTTTTGTGTTCCAAATCTGAAGTGTTCCATCCGCACTGACTTTTGCTCTTCCAAAAGACAGCGGCCCGTTTTCTTTTACCCACGTGACTGTCGGCTGAGGGTCCCCTGTAGCCTGGCAAGGGACTGTTATATTTTGCTGCTGGCCAACTTCCAGCCTCGCAGGCGGAGTGACTGTAAACTGTGGTAGTTCTACTACAACGAGTTGAGTAACAGCTGATTCGTGTCCTAAGATATTTGACGCTTTACATTTGTACAAACCAGAATCTCTTTTTTGAGCATTTATTATTGACAGCTGTCCGTCTTTCGAAACAGCTCTGGCCTGTATCAGTTCACCGTGCACTTTAGACCACGTGATCACTGCTGGAGGAAAGCTAGTCACGTGACATTCGGGCAAGGTAATATTCTTGTCCTTTTCAACGTATGATGGGTCAAGAGTTAAAGATATCTTCGGTTTGCCTGTGAGTAAAATAATAATAATAATAATTAATCAATTTTGCAATTATTTTGTTGCTTATTCTCTCAAAGAGGCAGAACATAAATGTACTTCTAAATTAAGTTTGGAAAAAAATGCCAGAGACATAGAAACGCCTCATTTGGAAAGCTCTTTGTTTAGTACTCCAAAGTGTCTTGCCAATGTCTATTTCTCGATATCCACCAGAAGAATGTGAGAGTAATGAACCCAGAACCCGTCTGTCAATTTCGTATCAAATTCCGCAAATATTTCCAGCAATACGTATGACTTATGCTGAAATAAGTTAAGTGCACTTGGCTGGAGGGTAAATTGTGACACGCTTTGTAATAGTAACTGGATCGAGTGTAGTACAATTTAGGGAGTAATTGGACGAGCAACTTCAAAATGGGACGAGCTAGCGCGTAGCTCGAGGCTGATTTGAAATCACGAGCGCGATTGCTCTCTGAATTTCATGACAGGAGGTCCAATTACTAATTAATCGCATCAATAACAAAATTTCAAAATTAAAAAAAAGATCATTTGAGAATTTCTTTTGAGCGAAAAAGAGGGTAGCACCTTCCATGGTTGTAGGATATGTCAAGAAGAAAGCCATTCAAGCGCGCGTAAACAGAGGCACAAGATAATCTGGAAATGGTCTATAACAGGTATCCTATTACAACTTGTTAAAATTGGATACTTGTCATTCGACACCCACGTTATCAGGCGCCGATCGACTACGAACCAATTACGATCGAAAAAACAAAATTGTTATAGATACGTACGATAAATCTTTAATCGAACAAAAAAGTACCTAGTTAAGAATCATTAGAATGGATTAGGTGAGAGAAAAAGTAAGTATTTTAGTAGCCTACTTTGTACGATCAGACTTATAACTTGATCATTATTCCCCAAGAGATTTGGTGCCATGCATCGGTATTTCCCGGCATCTTCTGGCCGAACATTTTTAATGTCGATTAGACCATCTGACGTCACTTTGGTCCTGTCGCTAGGTAACGACCCATTCACCTTGGTCCAAGTTACTTTCGCTGCCGGATTCCCAGAAACCGAGCAAAAGAAAACAGCAGTGTTGCTTTCGTTGACAGTCAGTTGCGAAGCCGGAGAAATGGTCACTTTTGGTGCAGAAATAGATTCTCCAGGTTCACCTTTAATCCCTGGGATACCCGATGGCCCGATATCTCCTTTAATTCCTTTTTCTCCTCTAATCCCCGGTGGTCCCATAATCCCTTGTTTTCCGCTTTTACCAGGCGGTCCCATAATTCCTTGGGAACCTTTCCTACCCCTCCTCCCTTCGTTTCCTTTGTTGCCCTTGGTTCCAGCTCTCCCCGGAGGTCCCGGCCGTCCACGCGGGCAGACGTTGAAGTTTCCACGTTTTTGGCAAATCTTTAAACTGGTGGTAAACATATCTTCCAGTACTTATTGTGATATCAAATTAAACAGATTTGGTAGACTTTTCCCTGTTCTGTCGTTGTGACCCGGAAAAACCGATTAAAAATAGATACAATTTGCTTGCCCTTGAGCAGTTCAGTCAATCTAAACAAAGATTCTTTTATTCCATAAGTATACTCAGACATGATTTTTGTACAGCTTCAGACCAAAAATGCAGCCAAATTGCCGTCATTGACACAGTTGCTTTACTGAGTATCAATGGCATCTCAGAAAATTCTCTCATTTCCGCTGTAATAGACACTGTGTGTTTTGTTTTTTTCAGTCTCGCGATCCAAGATTCAAAGGGCTTACTAAAAGAATCTCAATGGAAGTTCACATTACACCATGCGAGACGTTATGTTTCCCTTGAGATGCCCTACTTCCACATCACGTTCCTTAGTCCCAGAGAACTTCTATTTTCTTTGTATTCCTTAATCAAATTTGTACCAGGGTACACATCACATCTACTCCAAAATGAATAAAGGCATAGCATAAACAAGGATAAGCGTTACCCTATTCTAACGCAATTCAGTGGAATCTACAATAGAAGGTTTAGAAGGATTTTGTTTACGACAGAAGGTCATGAGGCTTTTATATCTAATTAAATTGTTAAGTGTTATTTTGAATGTAGGACTTGCTTTAAAATGAACTATTTCTTTAGACATAAAAAAGTAAATATATAAATAAAAAAATTGAAAAGCAGTCAAGGAATTTGAAGAATTTGCCAGCTTTCCATTTTTTTTTTTTTTACTACGTGTAGTTAAGTAAAAGGAAATAAGAAAGAACAGCTATGACATTACAGAGACGGCTGAAAAATTCTACTAAGTAGGAGCTTTCATATTCGAGACATCCTACCTTCATTGCAAGCCTTCATCATTTCACCATTGCTCTCTTTAAGCTTCGGAATGACTTCCTCGACAGCCATCAACCTTTGATCGTAGTCACCAAACTTTAACTCGTTCCTAATGAATCCAGCGGAGTAAAGAAGCAAACAGAACACAGACAACACTGTGCCAGGGCTCACTGATAAACTGCGATCTCTGGAAGACATTTTTTTATGGCGTTGTTTTTACCAAAAGCCTGACTTTTTATGACACGACTACGACTTCCAAATTAGATTAAGGGAATACCAACACGTACTGCGAGAGCAAATCTTTCCCAGTCAGGTATGCAAAGGTTATTTTTGGGTATCAGTTCAACCACAGGGGTCATGCGAAGAGTGTGGAAAATGGGTCAGAGGAGGGAGGGGAAGGGGGGCGGGGGGGGGGGGGGGG